GAAATTACATGAATATGGCAGTGGGCAAATGCATAAAACGCAGCATAATTTGAAATCACGAGTTTAAAGTTTGTCGATCGCACGTCTCCAGTCAAGCTGAACTCTCCTCCTGTCAGCATTCAATTCACACAGACCAACCGTCACACAGAGAACACGCGATCATGCAGGATACAAATGCACACTTCACAAGATCTCACAGCTGGATCCAACTAAGTTTGCAAGGTTTGTGAAATTAAATGCTGATTAGTCATTCAAAGATTTGTTTAAATGATATAAATGCATATTTGCTGAATGCTGACAGCAAAAAAAAAAGTATTATGTTTGCCTTTCTATTACTAATAATATAAAAGCAATCGTTAATACTTTTTGTATACATTTTAATTCCTTTGTTTAACCGTTCTAATTGATTATTAGACCGTTCTATCCGTATTAGACAGAACAACAGCGAACAAGAGGGAGAATGTGAGCACTGTGTGCTCAGGCGCTGCCGTTCTCAGCACCGTCAACATAAAAGTCTGCCGCGCTGTCAAAATAAAAGTCCCACCTCGAACACATCGGCCAAACAGAAAAACGTATAAAAAAAAAGTCAAATATCGGCCGATATATCGGTCAACCACTAATTTACACAGACTTTTTAATAAAGCTGAGAGGTGCCATAAATGAATTTGCATCACAAAATTGCAAATGCATAAATGATGTTAAAAGATTAATGTTTTAAATAATTTTTAAATATACATTTAAGAACTGTTGGGAAAAATGCAATGATACTTTTAAATATGAAACCAATCCACCAGTATGTGGTGGCAGATGACTGTTTTAATGAGTCATTCAACCAGCTGATTAAAGTATGTACTTTTTTGGTGAGGAAAAAGTACACAATTGTGAGTGTGTAGTAAACGAGTAGGCAAGTTTTGGGCTGGGCATGGGCCGATTAACAGTTTCAAGGTATACCGCGATTTGAAAATTTCACGGTTTCAAAACCGTTGTCTGGTGTCAGAGCACTGACCCACATGACGATCAGGAGGCCCATGGTGTAGGAAGCATTGGCTTTTGTTCAGGAAGGTGCAGTCATTCCCTGCGTAATCCAGCTCAGTCTTCCAGTCTTCGTCTGACCCTTGAGGTGAAAGGAAGCCTGGATGTGATGTGTGATGTTTATTTGTTTTGGATATGAAAGACATGTAAACATGAAGACATATTGAACTTCAGAATTTTAATATCAGCGCATCACTATTTTTGCTAAAGAAAATGTGAGCACTGCTTGTCTATTCAGTACTACCTGGCATGATGTATAACGATTGGGTAGTTATGTGATTGATTATATTTATTATTAACTAATAATCAGAGGTGAATCCAATTTTTTAAGCTAACCAACATTTCAGTAGTCCACAACCTACAGCTGAATGCTATAAACCGCTGCCAGTTTGTGTGAAGAGGATTAATGATGATTCCAGTGACTATATATAATCATATCCCCCTATTTATCTCCCTACATGCCTTGCCAATCTGACCCGGCTTTACGACCGTGCTTGATTCATTCTGCAGTGGCAGTTTTTATCCGGTCCTGCCGTGAGTCAATCAGACATGACTCTTAATCTAAAGCTTTATATAGAAGTGAAGGATGTGTCTTGATGTAAGAATGGGTCGAGTCGTGCAGATAAACTCATAACTCTTCCTGAAGGAATTCTGTAATAGAAGTAACAGTTGGATCCATACACCTATCTCTGCAGGATTTGTCGTGTTCTGTTGCACCTGAGCACCTTTTATGTTCCTGTGAAATATTGTCATTGTGTATATCTTTGCTATAATTAAATTGTATCGAACCCCAAATAAGACGGTCATAATGAATGGCGCAGTGGTAATAGTTCAAGACGCACTTCACCTCTGGTTGCTCTAGCAGTTTTGTCTACACAATAAATGTGCTGTAACTCTCTTTAGACCAAAACAGCAGCTAATTGCCAAAGTTGTAAAATGTTATGATGGAAAAATGCTTTTTTTATTAAACTAAAACCGTGACTCGAACTAAGCACTGACTGTATTTCTTCAGGCTGTATGAACCACTGCAAGCTGTAAAGTAAGCAGGAAGTGTTTGTCTGAACTCAACTGGTTTTGCCAGAGAACGCAAATATCTTTGTGAGGGAATGCAAACATTTTTGCGAGAGAATGCAAAGTTTCTCTGGGGAATGCAAATGTTTTGTGAGAGAACGCAAAAGATTTGAAAATACTTTTTTTTTTTTTTCTCCCACCCCATATTTTTCCACCACCATGTTCCTTTTAGGGCCTCCGTACAGTTCTTATCATATAAGTGAAACAATGTTAAATCTGTCAGTTTAAAAGAAAATGTATCTTTATCTTTTCCACCAGCTTATGTGATTTGCAAGATTGTGATCTTTTTATAGCTGTGACTCATTATAGACATGCTCTGAGATTGACAATTACATTAAAGTCTGTGTAAAGCAATATTAAATACGTGTTCTGAGATTGTCACACCACAGAAAAATGTGTTAACCACCCAGCCAAATTTGAATGGAAAAAAAAACACCAATTAAATAAAATAAGGTATTAAAATCTTGAAAAAGTAAGCGGTATTCTCTGCTCTCAAACACTGGGGCGTGTCTGCTGTCATGGCTGAAACCATGCCATGGTTTACATGCCAACATATTATAGTGTTAGGGGAGGGGCCATGCTCAGTGGTTCCAGGGCGTCATCGATACATGATTTCAGTCCCGCCCAAAAAATCCTGAACACAAAAATGGCGAAAAACTGTTTGTCTTGTTGGGATGTTAATCAAATTGTGGCCCTGAACAGGCAACCATAAATAAAAATATCTGTTGAATAAAACAAAGACTTTTAATACATTTAGATTATCCTCTGAGACCATTTTCATTACAGATGGCAGTCATAGTAACATGCCACACAAATATTTTGCCTTTTATTTAACTCTTTGTCGGCTGTTTTCTCAGGTGAATTGGTTGTCTAAGGAGTGGGCTAAGCGTGCAGCTCTTCCCTCTCACGTGGTCACCATGCTGGACAACTTCCCCACCAACCTGCACCCCATGTCTCAGTTCAGTGCTGCCGTCACCGCTCTGAACAGCGAGAGCAGTTTCGCTCGGGCGTACTCTGAGGGAGTTAACAAGGCCAAGTACTGGGAGGTGAGTCACAGAAAATATTTGTGCTAGAAACTTTAAAGGTGAAGTGTGTTACGATAAATACTATGACTAAAACAACTCTTGACTAAGATAATTATTTGCTATGTAATGTGAGTCATTCACAAAAATTCATGCCATTTCTGTGTAGTTTGTGTACGAGGACTCCATGGACTTGATTGCCAAGCTCCCCTGCGTGGCGGCCAAGATCTACCGTAATTTGTACCGTGAAGGCAGCAGCATCGGTGCCATCGACTCCAACCTGGACTGGTCACACAACTTCACCAACATGCTGGGCTACAGTGATCCACAGTTCACAGAACTCATGAGGCTCTACCTCACCATCCACAGGTGATGACCTACAAACTCACTCACTCATTCGTCACAAACTCCTCCTCTACTGGTTCGTCCATTACCAAACTAGATCATTCAGGCCACTAGTACAATTCTGCTAGCTATTTGTAGAAGAACTGCCATTATCTGAACCAAAAAAAGGAAGTGAAGAGCATTGATGTAATCTTAAATGCAAACAATCTGCTTAAAGGGGTCATATGATGCTATTTTAAAGATCATTATTACACAAACACACACAAGACGCGTTAATCTGCACTGCGCAAAACTCCGCATTTGAACAGTCAATAGCAAATACTTAAACTAATAACAAAACATACTTGCAGTCGCTGATTCAGAAGCGCCAGATTGTCATAGCAAAGTCGGAATTGACCCCCCCTTTTTTT